CTGTTATTAATTTATATGTAAATATAACAATGTTTGTTCAGAGCAACCTGCACTAACAATCTGGTCTTCACAGCATGAAGAATCACGAAAAATCAAAGAAGCATCGAGAGATGGTATCACTGTTACGACAGCAATTGGAAGAGGAGGAAGGGAAATTTCCTGTGTCTTTGGATGATGCAGATGAAATACAGACCAAAGAGGAGGAAGAAACAGAAGACATACCCAAACAGAAGTACTTAAAATTATTTTGAATTTTATCATGAATCATGATTTACTAAGTCTTAGTGGCCTTCAAAGGGAGCTCCTGATGATTTGCCACTGCATTTGCTCTCAAAATTGTGCAATTTGAAATATTTCTTAGCATCAGAGTTGCAGTAAAACACAGGCATTTGCATGACTGCATTTGAGTGCTGTAGAACAACAGACATGATTTTTCTGCTGCTTAAAGTTATATGTTAAGGAAAAGAAGGGTTTGTTATTTTTCAAGCAAGAGGGACTTCCACAGTGGCAGTGCTTATTGATTTGGTACTTACTGTCAGTTGATTGCTGGCATAAATGGAAAATGAGTGTGCTCAAAATCAGAATTGTTACACAACTTCATTTTTTAAACAGCCAGAGCATAATCCTAACTATCTCACTAGTATCTTTGGGTTCAGTCTGAGTAGAATAAATGTTTTCCTAAATGCAATGAGTAGTTTGGGAAATATATTGTTTTAATTTCTAGCATGAGTAACTTTGTTGTTGTGGCTACCTAATACCATATTAAGAAGACAAAGGAAAAGTATAGCTTGACACCTTTTTAGAAATCCTACTAGTTTTGGGGTTTTTTATGTTAAAAGAAAGATAATTTTAAAATTATCTTACAGACTCTCAAAGAAACAAAGGAGGAAACAGAAAACAATGAAGGTATGTAGTCATAATGATACTCTGGGACCTTTATAAGCCAGTTTTGTTATCTCCTGACAAACTGTTTTTCTGTCCTGCAAAATAGGAGAACTTGAAATTCCACAGAATTTGAAGACTATTTTAAAATATTTTTAATTCTTCTTTGCCACAAGAATAACTTTTATTAGACTTATTATAATCATATTTTATGGTAATAACATCATAGACCTCACTTTGTTCTGTTAGAGTGTGCTGACTCTAAAAAGGCTGTCGTCTGAAGTGTGAAAAAAACAGATGCAAACAGGCAGACAGGGAGAATGCAAGGAATTGATCAGGAAGACCAGTAGTGGCTTTGGTGCATTAAGAGCTCAGTTGGTGGTCACTTCTGGCTTTAGTTGCAGGAGCTGGTATAATGAACTGGTTTTTAATCTCTAATTTAGAGGGGTCAAAAAGAGTGCCACAGTATTGGTTTCCTAATGGCTCTGTAGCTGTTGGAATTAACATATCCATTCCACCTTTCTCTTGGACTACAAACAAAAGTAACACCAATCTGTTGTACTCCAGGATCTGAGTCTGTGTGTGGTATCACAGATCTGTGCTGGCAGCAGCAGGTGGAATTCACCAAGTGCAAGCTGTTTCAGGTTTGAGTGGCAGGAGTGTCATAATCAGCACATGCCTCTGTCTGCTTTCCTCAAACTTTATCCTTTTCAAGTACTTACTCCTCAGTCCTTGCCTTGTTCCAGTGAGCTATCAGTACTAGCTCCTGCCTCTTCCATGTTTTCCCCTCTGATTTCCTATTCTCTGTTCACCTTTTCTGCCCTCTCCCACTCCATCATTATCTCTTGCTCTTAAGAAGCTTTTCTGAGACTTTCAAGCAGCTGAAGTTTCCTGGCTTCACATTGGCTGGTTCAGTTGCATAGTCCAAGTATTGGCTTGACCTTCATGTTTCTGTGCAGGTCGTGAGGCTTCAGTTAACTCTTTCCTCCTCTGAGACCAGAAGGTCTGTTCTCACTGCAGAGGGGGCACATAGTCACTGTGGCTGTGTTCCATCAGTTTGCTACAGGCTGGACAGTAGGTGCCACTCTTGCATTGCACAAGCTGGAATCTTGTGCTTAGAAATCCTGACCCCCATCCTCTGCCAAGCATTGTGGAGTGCTGGGAATCTCTGTGGGTTTTATTTTCTTTTCCTGAAGTTAGGATGAGAAAAGTCTTTTTTAGGTAGCTGAGGCTGTGCACTAGAGATGATAAGAGCTGCATTAATGTGGCGTTATGTCAAATTTTTTATTGTGCTTTTGGGAGGTTTGCTGTTCTGCTTCAGAGAAGGAGTTGATATTTTGCCAAACTACATATATTGAGTCTAATCTGGCACATGGAAAAGGCTGCCAGTATTTACTAGGGAAGGAAATTACAGTGTGTCTACCTAATTTCAGTCAGCTCAGTTATTTTGGCTTGAATGTCCTAATGCAGTTGTCTGGCACAGAAAACTTTAGTCTAAATAATTAACCTTTTGCAAAGTTATAAGCCAAGCCACTATCTGTGAAATAAGAAGTGGTAGTCAGAACAGGAGGAACCCTGTGTGTAGTTAAAAGCTACCTTCATTCTCCTCTTCTGTAATTTCAGAGGCTGTTTTATTGGTGTTTCTTCCCTTCACCACAGGTGGCCTCATCTTTCAAAACAGGAGAACTAAGGTTTTACATGTTACAGTCTCACTGAAAACACACAGTAAAATTGAGAGGGTCCATGGCTTTCTCTCCTCCCAACCCACCCATATTTGAGGTAAATGAGTATAATACTATAAACATAGTCACTAATGAACTGAAAATATTTAACTTGGATTTCTTCCGTATGGACAGAGTTATGAGGACTCTTTTGATCAAAGTGCTGATGAAGAAACAGTTGAACAAAAGGAAGTACCCAGCATGGAGGACTGTGGCTCAACAGAGGAGTTGGTAAATGATGGCCAAAGATGTACTATGTCAGAGGACACAGCTGTTACAGATGATGTCAGCAAAGAGAATGAAACAAAAAGTGAAGCAAAAAGGTGTGTGGGGTTGCAACATTGCAGTCACTGTGTCATTCTGTGTCATGTTTGATACTGTCAAACAAGGATAGATTTACTTTCAAATGTAGACTCTGGGGGGCTGCTCACCAAAACTGGTTTGAATAAATACGATACTGAACAAAGAGTGTAGGACCTTCTCTGAAAGTGGTATTTGACTGCAAATTGCTGCCATATCATTTCCCAGAATGAGATTCAACATTTTGATATAAACAATTGATTGTATAAATTAATTTTTTTTCTGGATACACTTATATTTTGTTGCATGAAGCAAGAACAGGGAAAAGCAGCAGAGACATTGAAAACTGGAAGACATCAGAAGCTTGTAAATGTTGAATGTTCCTGTGCACTGATCTTGCTTTGTCTATTAGCAGCACTAAGCCTAAGGGGAAGAAAGCCAAGGAAGGAAAAAAGTCTGCTAAGGCATCTTCAGAGAGCTCAACAACGGTATGTCAGATTACTTATGCTATTTAAAATAGAATCATAGGTTGGAAGGGACCTTAAAGGTCATCTAGTTCCAGTAGAACACATTGCTCAAAGCCCCATCCAGGCTGGCCTTGGACACTTCCCAGGCATGAGGCATCCACAACTTCTCTGGGCCAATTCCTTATCACCCTTACAGTGAAGAATTTCTTCCTAATGTGTAATCTAGACCCACCCTCTGTCAGTTTAAGACCATTGCCCACTGTCCTGTCAGTCTGCCTGTGTAAAAAGTCACTCCCCTCCTTTAAGCCCCCTTAAGGCACTGGAAGGCTGCCGTGAGTTCTCCCTGGAACCTTCTCTTCATCTCTCTCAGCCCATCTTTATCGGAGGGCTAAAAGGTTGGGGTCATATAACTACAAAGAAAGCTGCTAACCTCCAGTCCACCAATTCTACCCCTGTGATTTTAATAGAACTGAAACTTCAGCTCATGTCCTCATAGAGAAATGCAGGACTAAGCTTCATTTCTAGGAGAGCTGGTAAAGTTCTGTGTGTGAGGCAGTTCTAATAAATTAAACAACTGGGGACAGAGCTGTTGTCACCCAGCAGGTGACAGGCAGTACTATTTGCATCTTTCTTGATATTGATGCTTGCCGGAGAGCAAAACTTTCTAGTAACGACAGCTAAGACATACTAAATTCACTGCATCTCAGAGCCCAAAGTATTAACTCTGGGGTCAGGTGAGATAAAAACAATTCTTTACTATGAATTAGATTTGCAAGACTTCCATTCTTGGTTTTACTTAAAACACTTTGAAATTTCATGAAGGTATATTTGCAATTATTTTTTAAAAATATGTGTTTAATCGTTAATGAGTAATGGAATATTGATGCTAGAAACAAACAGCTTATTCCTGCTTCACTGCCAAGGAGAAACTGTGTGCAAGAAATTGGTGTATTGCACTGCCGACATATTCAATATGAATGTGAAGCATTCTGAGGGTTTTTTTTCCTCATTGTAGAATGAAGTTCCCATCCACTGTGTAACCTGCAATTGTGCATTTCCATCACGAAATAAATTGTTTGAACACCTGAAAGCCACAGGACACGCAAGAGCAACAACAACACCAACTGTAAATGGAGCTGTGAATGCCAAAACCAAAAAAGAGAAACGTAAAAACAGATAGAACTTTGCTATAGTGACCGTCTTCAGAATTGTGCATTAATACTCTCTCAGAAGTGAAACATGCACATTGCCTGTGTCTGGAGTTAAACAAAGAAGGCAAGTACCAATGTAGGAAAAAAAATGAAGATGCACAAAAGGAATACTATCTTGTGGAGGACTCTGTGCTTTCTTCTGTTTTAAACAGCCTTCCTTTAATCGTAGAATGGTTTGGTGTCATGGCACAGGTGGGTGCTCCTTCCACCAAACTACTCTGTCTAAAGCCCCTTATCCTGCAGCAGCTTTCACACCACGGGTGGGGAAATAGTAAATTAAAGCTACTCACCCTGTGTTGCTGTAGAAACATGCATGGATAAAGTAACCACACAGAGGAAATAATAAATTATTTTGACACATATGCTGTTGCTTTTCTTTTGAGAGAGCTCAGCTCAGGGTGAGTGTAGCCAGTAGCAGGGGCCTGTGCTCAGTTGGTGAGAACATGGTGCTAGTAACACCCAGGTCATGGGTTTGATCCCTCTATGGGCCATTCACTTAAGAGCTGGGCTTGATGATCCTTGTGGATCCCTTCCAACTCAGAATATTCTTTGAATATGAAGCACCGCCAAGACATGGGCTTTTCTTCTGCCATCCTCAAATTACTTAATTACATTAAGCAGCAGACAGAAGGGAAGGAATTAGATAATAAAGCTGTTTAATCAGTTTTGACAACTCCTATTTGTTTTGTACATCTGCCTCCATGGCAGGTGTCGGGGAAAAAGTCTAGTGGAACAGCCTTGCTGGAATAAGTGAAGGAGAAATAAATGAGTGATATGAATGAATGAATTTGTTCTGATTTCTAAGGAAAGACACAGCACTTCTGTTTAAAGCCATAATCTGCCTGATCTTGAGTAGAAAAAAAAAGGTGAGATAACGAACACCTGATTTTGGAGTGAAATTGGGTTGTACACAGGAGTTATCAATGGAATTGGAGAAGGCAGTGCTCAGCAAAGGCTGTACAATATTGTTTAGGACTCATGGAGTAAGATTTGGAAAGAATGCTCTGTTAGCAAAGTTCCTCTAAGTACTGGCAGAATACTCTCCTCCCCCTAACCTGACATGGTACTTTATTAGGTGAAGGAATTTTTCAAATATTGAAATTGGAATAAAAGTAAAATGATAAATGTACAGTTCTTGCTGACTGTCCACAGCATCTTTTTTTTTAATTGGAGACTGAAGGAAGCAATGACTTTACACAATTAGAAGTGATTATGTAAGAAAGAACATCTTATTCCACCTTTCAGAGTTTGCATCTTTACAAAATGATTAATGGGTGTGCTGTGCAATTCCAAAAGCACCAGGAAGAAAAGAGAAGTGTATTTTGGAGAAGGTGATGACTGGATTTTTATCCCCATGATAAAAATAATTACCGTAATTAGAAACATCTCAACTGTCTGCAAACTTTTTGTAATGCTCTAATTACAATGTGCCCTTGTAGACAGGGTAAACAGTTTTACTCTGAAATGTCTTCCCCAACTCTTTCTGTCACTCTTCCTAAAAATTACTGATTTTGATACAACTTTCATGGGGGAAAGAAGAACATATGCCAGCCTCTCCATTTGATACCCTGTTAATCCAGTCAGGGTTTTTTTTGATAATAGGTGTACAGTTAATTCGAATCAGCACTGTAGAGCTAAACTGTACATTTACAAAATGGATTACACCATGTCCTTTGTTGAACACTGTGTCTGTCAGAATGCTCTTATGATACTGAAGAAGCATGTAATTGTCGCACTATGATTTTATTTTCCAGGGTAGATTAGTGCCCAGTCTGGGTCACAAGTGTCAGGGATTGTGTGTGCCTCTCATGTAAGGAAACAAATCTGTTCTATTTTGCAGCTGCTCTTTCCACGTGTCTCTGCAAAGCAGTATGAAATACTTCCACAGCAAAGTCGACATCCCTCTTAGTAATGCACATAGGAGGCTTAATTCTGAATGTCTGAGGGGAGAGAACAAAAAGAAAAATAAATGCTCAAATTGTATGGAAGGGATATGGTTTCAAGCAGCCTAACTGGGTCAGCAGTCCCACCCCAAAAAAGTGAGGAAAAAAGGAGAACAGCAGTGCAGCACTGAGGCTTATGATAAATGCACTCTGAAGTGGAGCAATTTTGAACTTGACTGCACTGAATTGCATCTGACTCATGACCCCCTCTTGATAACCTAACTGCCTCCACAAAAGACCTAAGTAGAGTAGGTCGTGTCTGCAGCTCTGTTACTGCAGACAGAGACAGAGTAAAATCTCAGATGGATTTGTACAAAGAAAGAACAGAGACAGATGTATTTTCCTTTCTCGCAGTTCTACCACAGGGCAAAGTAGTATCTGCTGAGAGTGGCAGTCTCTTGCATCGTGTCAGCCGATTTGCTGTTTTATTATAGGCTGTTTCCAAAGGCTTTTAAGAGAATACATTATGAATGAATCACTAAATAGTATATTGTAGTTAGGGTGCTATAGCTGGAAAGTATGTTGATCAGGAAGGGCTATATGTACAGCTACACGTGTCAAAAACATAGGCTCCTAAATCAGAATATTCAATCTATGTTTCCAAGAGTATTTTATCTTCCTTAAGAATCTTAAATTTTGGATTTTTCTGGCATCATGTCACAGGACTTAATACAGGAAATGTGGAATAATGGGCTTTCCCACCCACAGCCCTAGCTGAAGCAAACACTCACAGATAAACAGCCCTCTGATCAAAAAGAATGAGATTTTACTGCACTGAGCTTCAGCTTGTTACCTGCCTCCTGGTCTGTGACTTAGGGAATAACTGATGAGGTGACAGACACAGTGTTTGATTTATTTTAGCTGCCCTCCATCCATCTCACATGGAAGCTGCCTTCTCTGTGTCAGAGGGCTTCACTGACTGGACCAGCCCTGAGGCAATTCTCTGTCATTAACTGAGTGCTGCAGGGAGCTGATGCAGTGTTCTGGCTATAGCATGTAATGTAATCCTCAGCTGGTGTGGGCTGATGGCCTTCACATCCAGTTCTCTCTTTTGTGCTGTTGCTGAACTTGCTGTCAACACCTTTTTTTTTTCCCTTTAATTACCATAGAATTAGAACATCACCAGCTCCCCAGACTCAAAGAACGACTAGTTTTGTAGTGATGTGTCAGGTGATAACCTGAACTGTGCAAAGACTTGGTCCTCAGTATTGCTGAATTCTTCTAAATTGCATAGATTGTATTACCTTGGTTTTCTAGGTGAAGTTGTCTCTAAAGGAAAACTGCAAGCTTTGAGCTGGTTCAGAATATTTGAAAAGAATCAAATAGTTCCTGCCCAGTTTTAAAATAAGCAACATTAAACAGAGATAGCTGCTAAGAGTATACATTTTCTAGTTTATTTACTCAACTAAATTAATTTAACTTGAGGGAAGTGGGGATGTAGTTCACAAGGATAGAAAGTAAGCTTTCTTTATAACCAGAGGTTCAGTACCTGACTGTAGAGCCCTCCTCTGCCAATCAGAACACCCATGTCTTTACAGTCCTCCCAGATCTGATTGATTTCTTCAACTGGAAGAGGGCGTCGACTGTCCTAAGGAAAGGAAATACTAAACTTAACTTAGATATTCTAAATTAGTTCTGTGACAAAGATGTATTTTCCAGTGTCTCAAATAAATCCCACCTCTAGCTGAAAATGTTAGCTGCATAACTTACCTGCTGTCATGAGTCTGTGCAGTTAAGGTGCATGTCACTGTTTACTCAAAGCTTGTGAAATAGCTGAATGATGGAATGTTCTGGCTCATTTTTAGCCAGAGCCATGTTTTCCCACTTCACTATCTGCTTTTTAACAGGAAGTATTTCTGTAATTTCAACTGAAATAAAATGTGATAAAACTTTCAATGGCACTGTAAATTGAACGAAGAAGTCACTAACCTTATCTGTCACCATTTCTACTCCAATCATAAGTCCCTTGCCACGGACATCTCCAACAATCTCAAATTTATCCCGTAGTTTAGCCAACTCCAGCAGCATGTATGTTCCCACATCCTCACTGTTTTTTTGTAGACCATCTTCTTCAATAGCCTAGTTAAAATGAAGTACCATGACAGTGTTGAAGGAAAAGCTTTCAACACATTCTGTTAATCCCCGTTGAACTTGACACTATCCCTTCACTACCTCAGTGCTCACATTTTCCTTCTCTTAAAATCCTCTTAGCAGCATCAGAATACCATTGTACATAAGACTTTGATATTTCTGTGGCACTTCACATTTTTCGTGTAACTTAAATTTAATCCAGTAATTCCTGCTCACATGTACTCATAACTGGAAAATACCTAACCAGAAGGATTATTTTCAAAATCCTACCAGAATATTTTAATTTTCTTCATCATCATGAGAAAAATGTAATTTGACAAGACTTAATTGTGTGTACTAGGCAGGGAACAGCTTGAGTACTATATTATATTTAGCAACAACATGTTTTTTAATAGCAATCTTTTCTTCATTCTTTACACTGTTCTCCTTAATCAGAGTTCTTATTTGCAGGCATATATTGGCACCTACACACAAACCATTAGGTGAACTTAGCATCTGCATTTAGAAAAATTGCATTTAAAAAATAATTACAGAAGATAAAGTGGTTGTTTCTACTTTTCTCTCTTTTTTTTTTTTCTTTCAACTCCATTTTATTCTTCCTGACTCTTAACAATCTCCTTGGAATTATTTCAGAGCCAGGCTCCAAGTTATTTCAGAGTTGAAAAAGCCCAAAACACGGGTCCTTTATACAATCATCCATCTTATTAATAGTTTAAACCCCACAAACCACTCAGGAAAGTAACATGAATAGAAATAGTGTCTGCTGTAATGAAGTGAGCTTCAGGAATTAATGTTCTGTGCATAATCAAGACAAATTAAATAGTGACCTACTACCCACTGATTGATCTTCTACTGGATAATAAGTGAAATGTTGCACATTTTTCTGTTTTATTTTTCATGAAGTAATTTTTTTTCCAAAAGGATTTCTGACATTAGGTATTTGTAACTGTCTGGTCATTAAGGGTTTTTTAATCATAACATAAAAACCGTTAAGTTAAAAAAATTTTCCTAAGCATGTGTGCCAGAAAATAGATTTACTTTAGCTGTGGATTTGTATAGTGCTATGAAAGAATTAGCTAAAGCTTTTGAGAAAATACTCTCCTACAATTCTATTAACAAATAAAGAACTCAAGGGAGATAAAGATGATTCTGAAGTCATAATTATAGGGCTCCTACTCTTTCTGGAGATCTGAAAATTTTTGCAATTACGTAATCAGAATTTTTTTTCCTGTGCATGGGGCACACTGGCCATGCATATATACATGCATATGTTTATGCACTTTACTTAGTTATCTAAAAAATTGCCCACGTAGAAATGTATACATGCAATTCTCATCTTTTGATGCAAAGAACTTGTGGTATAGGTAAGTTTATGTCATGTTCTCCCTACGTCAAGAACCGCAGCTCCAACTACACAGGCCAAAGGGTTTCCTCCAAATGTATTAAAGTGAAGGTTT